GATCAAACTCAGTCGTAAATAATCTAGCAAGGCAAGCTTTCGAACCATTATACCACGTCATGCTCAGAGGGTAAAAAAATAACTTGTGTGTGTATGCAACAACTTAATGCTATTTCAGTTCTATTTCAAAGTAAACATTCATTTAAATCAAAACAATTCTGTGTTTTTATGACAATTTTTTCCTCCCAAAACTGACGTTGATTATCATCTGAATTCAAGTAGGACTGATATATTTCTTGAAATCCCGTAAAAGTTATTATGAATGTATGAATAAATTTTCGGAATTGTTTTTTATGCAGTTATAGCATACTGCTACTACTTTCTTCCAATATCAATTTTTTTGTGCAAATTAAACACAAAATGTGGATCACAGAGCCTTGATATCTTCCTCTCTTCTCATTGGTCAGCTAATATTAAAATCATGTTCTCGCCTATGTCCATACAACGCCTATGCGTTATTCAAAAGCATTTTTTCCGCCAAAAATCAGAAATGCTCTCTGGAGCCTAACACGTGTATGTTTATTATAAAAATACTTCGACACAAGTTCGTCATTTCTCTTTTAATTTCTCTTACCTACCAACAATGTAGGACTTTAAGAAAAATCGTTTCGACCCAGTTCGTGCGAACGCTATGAAACGCCATCACACACGCACACATATACGTATGTACGGAACATTACAGAACATTACATGCAACAGAAATTTAATTACAAACATTACGGAACATTCACTACTTCAACTCTTCAGAAGCTAAAAGTTTATCAAACATATCCTCAGCTTTACAGAATTTTTTCAACTCTCTCACGGGGAACATTTTGAGCAGCAAGTTAATTCAACTTTTCAATATTTCACGAACTGAAATCTTTTACTGTGAGCACGGATAAAAAATATTTCCTTCTTAAAGGACTTAAATTCAGGTTAAAGGTACATAACTCTTCTTATTGATTAATCACAATTATATTACAGAATATAAAATAAAGTTTGTTATTATAAAAACAGTTGTTTCTCTGGTTTGCTTTTCATTTGCTTACACATTTGTAAAGAATAAAATGTAAGTGTTGATTTAGGACGTCAATACGGCTACACAATCTTATAAATTCATATTGTATGAGAAAACTAAAGCAAAGAATCAGAAATTGATAAAGAGATAGAATCCAGACAATTGCATCAGTTTATTAATAAATGTCTATTCTTGGCTCGTGTTTTATTTCACGTGTTACTTGCGGAAATACGTTTTTACTCACTCTCTCTCTGATGAAAATAAAGTAACTTCTAACCCCCCCCCAAATTTATCAGATTAACAAGGGAGACAACATAGCAAAATGCAAGGGAATTAACTCTTTTAGATTACTTCCCTTGAAATCAAAGTTCTTCAGCAGTTTTTGAATATGTCGTTTCCCTTTTATTTATTTTGAAATGCTGTTGCTCCCAAACATTATTAATAAATAAACAACAAATTCTGTATGTCCGTCCGTGTGTCTGAAATTTCTCTAACTCGGGCCTCACTTGCTCTACATAGAAATATTATACCTTTTTTGGGATAAAGGATGATCCCGTGATTAAAAATTTGTCATTCATCTGGTAAACATCCAGCACTGGGATTTGTGTCCGAATGAGGAGGCAACAGTTAAAAATTCAAATTTTAAAATAACTGAAAACAAATGAGTGATTTTAATAGCTTTTAATTTATATTGAGTTTAAAGTAACAAAAAAATGTGAATTTAACATATTTTCTTTTAAATTCAGTTTAAAATATCTCTCAAACTTTGCGAATTGAGGAAATCAATTTTATTTTTATTTCTTAAAAATGCCAAGGAATCAGAGTTAAAGTAAGAAGTTTCGTGACTTGAGGTTTTGAATTTCCGCAGAGTTTGTAATTTGAAGAATTCTACTTAGTTGAAATTCCACTGAGTTTTTGATTTAAAGAACTCAATTTTCGGCCTGAATTGGAATTTCGGTCCAAATCGGTCTTTTGGACGGAATTGGACTTATAAACTGAATCAGAGTTAAAGTGAGGTTTTGAAGCTATTTTTTTCAAAATTATCATTGCTGTTTTCTAAGCTGGATCAGAAGTCCTTTTAGTTTTAGGCTAAAGGCCCATTTATCCTAAAGCAGGTGCTAGCTGAAATGTCCGCACGGAGTGTGATTTCTAAGCTAGTTATTAATAAAAGTGAAATAACATTTTACTTATATTATTTATTCAATGTTAGCCTTGTGCTTGATTATTTCTTAACATTCTAATTGATATTAGTGCATTTTAGTATTATTTTTTTTTTGATATGCATGTCAGTGGCGTAAGTAAACGTCACCTGGGGCGGTCCGCTCAAATGTCACCCCATTGACCCCGATTCACCCTATGCTGAATGGTTAGCTGTAGCTAAATTTTCATACATGCTCTACCTCTACTTTACTCTACTGACCGGTACGTTACTGTTTACATGTATGATCCAAGACAAAATCCAATACCACAAAATAATCAGTTCAAATCAAAAGATTTTTAAAATGCAACTGTTCACTTTTAGAACAACTAAATACAAAACACGGCAATACACAAAAGAATAACATTCGATACTATGGTCTTAGAATGAATGTTTTCTTGTTTTCATTGTGGCAAACTGGTCAATGACATCGTCAAAATCTGTTTGTCTTGTAAGCTCGTTTTCAATGGAACAGCACAGCCAGATCCGACAGTCTTGACTGGCTCATGGTTGACGTAATTTTCTGTTGCTAATTTTCCGGTGTCCAATTTTCCGTTGCATCATTTTCTGGGTACCATTTTATCAATGACGTTTCAAAGTATTTTTCTTGACAAAATATTCTATTTAATTTTTAAGCATTTTTCGGAACATTGTAAATCAACTGCATTCTTTTAAAGGTTACCTAGAGAATTTATGCAAAGTTTATTTTTTGTTTTTCTTTATACAAGTAAAATAAATTTACATCGTATTTTGATGTTATTATGATTTTAGTTTTAGTGATAATTTAAAAACAATGAATATTTATCATTAGTACCAATAATGGAAAATTAAGTTAAAAATTTTTAAAAATTGTTTTTGTAATCGGAAAATAGGCACAAATTTTTCCGATTTCGATACCGTTTCCGATACCCCAAAAAGTTCCGATTTTTCCGATTCTCGATTCCGATTCCGATTAATCGTCCCAACACTAGTAGATATATTCAAAAGTATATCGCTCACTCAATGGAAAATTGTATCTCAGCGAATTGATACACAGGCAAGACTGAAAGTGTTGCACTTTTGGCTTCGTATTTCGCTTTGTTGTTATTAATGATGCAGAGTTAAAACACCATATCATCCGATAAAATGTTACAACAATGTCTCTTGTTAGTAACCAAGATTGTAGCAACTGAAACACATGAAAGCTGAAATCATTGCTATTTTTCCTACTCACAAATTTCCCGACAATTTATTAGAAAATTTCTGACGGGAGGACAGAACTGGGGGGTCATATATTATTTCTGTGGGGTCATATGCCCACCTGCGAAACCCTGTGTCTCCACCACTGTTTTCAGACTATTTTTGGCACCTTAGCCTGATTGAAAAAATTTGTTGGGGGTGACATTGTGTCACCCCTCTTGTGCTGGCACCCGGGGTGGTCCGCCCCCTCGCCCCCCTTTAGCTACGCCACTGATGCATGTCTTGATTCTACTGTCGGAGTTAACTCCTCCTTCAGTTCGTAACCCTTTCACCAGGGGTCTCTCTTTCCTGGGTATAAATAGCCAATGACCCTTCGCCTCGATCTCTTTTTCCTTTCAGGCCTGTGCACTGACACCTCGAGGTAAATTTCTCTTATTCCTAGAGGATTTCAACTATCAACCTCGAAATGTAGTCGTTAACAAGGAATAGCGTGGAAACACGCTAAGCACAATATACACACACAGAATATTCACACACGCACGCACATACAGAATATTCACACACACTTCGTCCTTTGTACTGTTTCCATGTATTGTAACTTGTTAATAATATATATTTGTATATACATATATTATCGGTCTTGTTTTGTTTGCTTTCTTTACCTTCTTCTTTGGACTTAATCAAAGTCCAACCTTTTTATGTAGTTGGGCTCGGCGGGCAGGAGTATTTGAACCTTGCGTTTCTTCTACGTCTGACTTCTATCAACAACATAACAGCCACGCCATGAACCCTCAACAAACCGTAACCGCAACGTTCCACTACACTACCTTTCTCTGTCAATATTTTACTGACTGCACTAGAGCCACGTTCAAGTAAACATGAACTTTGAAAGCACAAATTTTTTTTAGCCATTTCCGACATGTTCGGAGAGTGCTTTTTAGTTGTATTCGGCGTTAAAAAAATTAGACATTCTCATTTTCTTTTGTTTTCCCAATACAAAACCTAAGAGCTACTCAAGGTAGAGGGTTACTGAGTACGATTTTTGTAAGGGGGGAGAAAGGAAAAGAAGTTCATATTGTGAGGTATAAGTGGGATAGATATGGACTGACCCTCGATTTTAATCCTTTGAGCCCTGACCATAGCTTTACCGGTAGTAGAGAAAATGACGTAATTCCCAGCCACCGGTTGAACAGTGGTAAAGAAAAATGACTCAATGCCCAGCCACCGGTTGAACGGTGGGTAAACACTTATAATTCTTTTTATATCTACTGTGAAACATTACATATCAATTATTTGAGAATTTTGACTCAGGAGCTCAGGCAAAAGAGTTAAAATGGTTCAGGAATAGAGGGATCAAAGGGTTAAGACGTCAAAATTGTAGTGACTGTGGAAGCATCATCTTGGGAGTCTGTTTCACACAACAGTTTTGGGGAAGAAGCTGTCTGAGTGAAACTTCCCCATTACCAAAGGAATACACAAAGAATGTGGATGATTTGATACCATGTACATAGCTGGCAGGTTTTAGCTGTGAAGGTCTGAAATGGTGGAACTAAAGAATGTATCTCGTTTGAGCATTTGCTATAGTAATAGCGATAGAATAGTGAGAAGATTACGACTAAATCCCATTGAAACACCAGTTCCCAAAAGATAACCGACGTTAAGCAATGTTGAGCCTGGCCAGTACCTAGATGGGTAACCGCTTGTGAATACCATGTGCTGTAAACTTGGATGTTTTCTTGTGGTGTAATGGATAATGTCTTGGAATTATTAATCGGAGAAAAGAGTTCCAATTCACGTTGGGTTCGTTATATTCACTTACTCGCAAATACTATTGGCATGAATTCACCTCTCTCCTCCACTTATGGGTTAATTAGTAAAACTTGAATCGCTAAACCATTATTATCTAAAAAAAAAATCTTAAAATATTTTCTGTCTTTAAATAATCTACAAAGAGTTGATAAACCGTAGAAAATGAATCAATCAACAAAAAAGTAATGAGAAGATAGAAATGTTTTGTTTGTGGGATAGGGGTTGCAAGCTGGGAAATAGTTCATCACCCACAATGTCGCGTAATCGCTTTTGAATGACTGGGTAGTACCACTCCAGATATGGTAGCAATACATTCTTGACCTAATCCGACTCTTGGAAAAATAAAGCATGACAGCAGGAATTAAGTATTTTCCGGACTGTAGAAAAGCTTTGTTTTGGAGTTATTGAATGATAAAAGTCTGTCTTTGTTCTATTGATCTGTGAGAGCTCGGTCAGAGGAGAGATCAGCTGCTAGGTAATGGTTATCTAAATAATTGGAGGTGCACCCATACAGCGTAGTATCATCTGCATAAAATGGCAAACGTGCAAATAGAAAGCTTGTAGTCACTAGAAGCAAATCCAAATTCAAATCTAATAAACAATAAAACGTATTTCGAATCAAAAGCTCCTAATTCGGATTCGAAAGATTTAACCAGATAAGTTGCTATAGTTTGAAAAAAAATATCGATCTATGGACCTATCAGAACGACTCTATAAATGCAGCTAATCTGATTCAACTAACTTTTATAGAAAGAACGCTGTCCATTAGTAGAATCAGAGTCGAGTCCGTTCGTTTGTCTCTCCGAACCGTAAACACGCACGCATGCATATATATACACTCTCATCAATCACACAGGCCATCTAACCAACGAATCAATTATCCACCATGCGACACATCCATATGCGTACATATACTCAGCGTTTTAATGACTTTCTTTCTCCAGCGAATGACTGTAATTTCTTGTTCAATATGAAATGTGCATTTTGTATTTCGTTAAAAATTATTTCAGCTCTTATTGCAGCCACAACTTTTGTCATGTATTGTTCGAATTTAATTTCACTGTTTTGTTTACATTCAATTTTGACAAGGCTATATTTTTGTTGTTGGAAGACAATTTATCTGGAGTCAGAAGAGATTTTCAACTTCGTTGCAAGCTCAAGTCTCCAAGGAAAAGTCACCAAAATAAGATTAAAAAAATAATCTTAGGAATTTACAAACGTAGTAGAAAACGGATTATAAAGGATAAAAAGAGAATTTTCAACCAATCGCTGTTTTTTTGAGTAATTTTTTTAAAAGTTATAAAAGTAAATAAATTTTGAGTTTATATCTTCTGAAAATAAAGACGTGACAGATCGTGCTAGTCATCTTAAAATGCCAGTTTGTCAAGATAAATCTACGCCAAGTGACTTCCTTTCTCCGAAGAGATAAACGAAACGGCGAGAGATCAAAAGATTCACTGACAATTGAAAGTAAATGCCAGTTTCTCAAAGTCAATAAGTTTATATTTCCTTTTCTCCGGCAAACTGCGAGTGATGACATTTACTAAAATGTGTGAACTGTCTTTATATCAGATACATGTCAGTTTGTATGAAACTTTCAAATGTTTATTGCGAAAAGATACATTCACAAAAACTCAACATTTACATTCAAAAGTTTCGTTGTAAAAATGTAAATGAATTGCTGTTCTAGATATTGCAAAAATTATTAAAAGTTTGTTAATCATATTGTTAATATGACTAATAACCAACGTCGCTATTAATATTTATATGAATATTTATTCTTATATTCAGCATTGGATGTTAAGAAGATAGAAAATATGGTCATCAGCAAGACAAAAAGCCCAACATGCGAGTTACGAATTAGAGATATAAACTGTTGTGGCATATCTATGTATGTCCCCAATCACATAAATACAGTCGTAAATACCGTATATTTGTTTGCAGTTGGAGATTTCTCTGCAGTTGTGATGATCACACTCTCTGCCTCCGGTCAGAGAGGATCCCCAGACAAGGCTATGTCGAAGGACAGAATCTCGTCTCGGGAAACAGGCACCCAACCCCGTTCTATATGGGGTCAACGGGGAATTTTTGGCCGAGCCGAGCATACGGGCTCGGATACCCCTTATTAAATTCGGACTTATGCCAGATCTGACCGCGTAGAGCAGTCGGAGATTCGTCTCCAGCTGTGCTGGTCAAACTTTCTGATTCCGGGTAGAGAGGGTCCCCAGACAAGGCTATGTCGAAGAGTAGAATCTCGTCTCTGAAAACAGGCACCCAACCCCGTTCTATACGGGGTCTAGAGGGAATTTTTAGCCGAGCCGAACATACGGGCTCGGATACCCCTTATTAAATTCGAATTTGTGCCACATCTGACCGCGTAGAGCAGTCGGAGATTCGTCTCCAGCCGTGCTGGTCAAACTTTCTGATTCCGGAAAGAGAGTATCCTCAGACGAGGCTATGTCGATGGGCAGAATCTCCTCTCGGGCAACAGGTACCCAACCTCGTTCTATACGGGCAAGTTTTAGTCGAGCCTACGGGCTCGGATACCCCATATTAAATTCGGCCTTGTGCCACATCTGACCGCGTGGTGCGGTTGGTAGATAACCTGCAGTCGGAGATTCATTGTAGAATTCATTTGACTCACTTCTAGCAGTTGACTACTACTTCTACGCGCCGCTGGCGAATCTTATATGTGTTGTTCTTACCCTAAGTATTATCGTTCATTACCGACCTTCGTTTGATTATTCTGTTTAGTAACCTTCTCTAGGTTACAACATAAACATTAACCAGGTGCAGAAGTTTCAATATCTGGAAAGCATTTAAACAGCTGATGGGAAATGTGACACCGCAATCCGAATATGCATTGGACAAGCGAAAGACGTATCCCAAAAGCTAAGCTAAGCACTGAGAAACAAAAAAAAGGAGTTTTTGATTGCTATGTGACATCCAGCCTCTTTTCTCTCCTGTTAAGAGTTACACGAGATAGAAAATTGTGGAGAGCCATGATCGTCGATGCTACAGAAGGGACGGAGCAAATTGCACTTGCATTCTTTCGCTGATAGATTTTCTATCACAATCAAAATGATGCAGGATTTGTGGCTTAAATTTAGAGGAAAATAAATCTGAAACTGAATTACTCTTTGATTGACAATAAATATTCTGTGTAATTTGTCAGACCTTGTCCCGAGAGATGTCCATTGATTTCAGATTTATTGATTTGTTTTTTTATGTCTTATCAACCCTTTGTGGGTTATTTAAAGCCAAAACATATAAATGTGTAAAAATATTTTTGTGACAGAATATATTGCATTGTTAATGTTTTTAGAATAACAATGATCTTCCAGATACAAGTCCTACACCCTTGTGCAAATTAATTGAAGCAAAACGATTAATTCCGTTATTATTTACATTTTTTTCGTATATTTCCAATGAAATACGACCCAGTGCACATTTGAGTACGCCGTATGTCCATTCCACGAAGTCGTCCCTTGCAGATTGACCACAGATTCTCGACTGATTTAAATCAGGAGAGTTTCCGGGCCAGTCTATAGTAATTTATATTATTTATATTATTCGGACTGTTATCTTCATCTTCCTTGCCATATTCACAACGTTTCGGTCGTTGTACGCACCGGTCTTCTTTAGGTGAGTGGAATATGCCAATGAAGATGAGGATAACAGTCTGAATAATGTAAATAACCATAATACCTCATCTCAGAGATACAGATAGACAGTCTATAGTACTTTAATTTGCTCACTGGTAAAGTTTTCCAGTGTGTTCATGCAGAGTTAAAATTTTCGTACGCTTCTTTGGAGTAACGTCAATCGTAGACAACGGCTGTAGGACAACTAATCGACAGTCGAGACAATAGTGTCTGGGCGTGATAAAAATCTGATGCGATCACGGATGACGCAATATTTTTCAAGGCTAAACAAACTTCATCATAAACCCCGAAAATAGATTGATATTGCTGCACACCACTGCAAATGACCTAAACTAAGGAAAAAATAGAAATCAATTACATCCTGTCACTCCAGTGGGTCTAAAACTGATCGTATATTGAAAGAAAGGAAACTAAAGCGGTTGTTTCAATTAATTTGCACAAGGGTGTATGCTTTGATTTCAATGTTTACCATGAGGTTAGTTTCACTCAGACAAAACCAGAGTTTATGGTAGAAACTGCTATGCTTTGCTCATAGCAGATAGTGGACGATCCTGTTTTTTTTTTTGTTGTTTTTTTTAAATCATTCCACCTCAAGCAAAGGGCTAGTGTGAGTGAAAGAGAATGAGAAAACTTTAGAAGGAACTGGAAACGCAATCCTAAACGGGAAACAAAGAATAGGCGTCTACTATTGTTTAATAGACGGGGAAGGAGTGTGCTTACCCATGTTTCCAATATAGTCGGTCACAACGCTAATCTGCTTGACCTTTTTATCACTACCAGTCTTTTATAATGTTACCTCTTTTGGATGTTTTTAGACCACTCACTCGTATGTGTCAAGATCGATGTCAAACCAAATGAATCTTCTGGAGTTTCATTTCGCAAAGCAATGCTTCGATACTCTAAAGTTGACTTGGATAACTCCATATTTTTTCTTACTGAATATCTTCTCTCAATATTCTGAAAAAAAAAAAAAACAAAACAAAAAAAAAACAGAGAGCACGGAATATCCTCACCTTATTTATGAGTTGCTCCCTCCCGGCATTGAGAGTTTAATTCCTTTTAAGAAATAGAAATTCAAATAGTCAACCTTGGTACACACCTAAATCTGCTGTGGCCAAAGAACCGTAATGATTACTTCCATATTTATCTCCGTAAACGGCGCAGTGAGACCCATGCTGCTTTCAGAACGACGTGCAACTAAAGTTCTGGATAATTCTAAGATCAGCTATGCACACTTAGTTCAAACTA